TTTCCTCATGTGTGAATTTACTGCTGTAAATTTCCCTCCAAGGACTACTTTCATTGCATCCCATAGATTCCGGTAAGTTGTATTTACATTTTCATTTGTTTGGAGGTATGTTTTAATTTCCTCCTTAATTTCTTCTGTGACCCATTGGTTGTTCAGGAGGCTGTTGTTTAATTTCCAAGTGTTTATGGAGTTTTTGGAGTTACTTTTGTCATTAATTTCTAATTTCATTGCACTGTGATCAGATAATGTGCACGGAATAATTTTAATTCTTTTGCATTTCGAAAGGTATGCTATATGAGCTAGGATGTGGTCTATTTTAGAGAAAGACCCATGTGCAGCTGAGAAAAATGTGTATTCTGATGTTGTGGTGTGGAACACTCTCTGTATATCTACTAAGTTCATTTGTTCACAGCTTTGGTTCAGATCTGTTATTTCCTTGCTGATTTTTTGTCCAGTTGACCTATCTCTTAGTGTCAAAGGGGTGTTGAGGTCCCATGTTACAATAGTGTTATTAACTATATGGGTTTTCATGCCTGTCAATATTTGTCTTATCTAATTTGGAGCTCTGATATTTGGTGCATACATGTTTATGATTGTTATCTCAACCTCTTCCAGTGTTGCTGACCTGTATGTAGTGACGTTCTTTATCTCTTTTGATTGTTGTCGGTTTGAAGTTTACATTGTCTGCAAACAGAATAGCTACCCCTGCTTTTTTCTGGGTTCCTGTTGCATGGAGGATTGTTTTCCATCATTTGACTTTTAGTCTATGGATTTCCTTTTGAGTAAAACGTTTTTCCTGTATACAGCATATCAGTGAATTTTGTTTTTTAATCCACACTTCCAGTCTGTTTCTTTTGACTGGAGAATTGAGGCCATTTACATTTATAGTTATAACAGATATGTGTTGATTTATCATTGTCATGTTATTTACTTGCATTGGTGTCCTAGTTTTTCTATCTGTTTACTTGCTTGCTCTTCTTGACGTTTCCTTTCTACTGTTGTTCTTGAAATTGTGGTCAGATTTTTCTCTGTCTAGGATATCTTTTAGTTCTCTTTGTAATGCTGGCTTGGCACTCATGAAGTTCTTCAATTGTTCTGTGTTGTAAAATATTTTATTTCTGCGTTGAATTTGAGGAATAGTTTGGCAGGGTACATCAGTCTTGGTTGGAAGCTGTTCTGTCTCAGGACCTGTAATACTTTGCACCAAGCTCTTCTCAACTAGAATGCTTTGTGCTGAGAAGT